GAATATCATATTCAGTTAAAATTCTTTTTGTATCATAATGGATATCAAAATATTTGTCATTTTTCAATGAATCATAATTTTTGATTTGTTATATGCTTGCATTTAATTTAAATTTTGTCAAAATAATTGATCATCAAAATCTGTTAGTGTGCGTTGTGTATGTATAGTTTCCCGTTAGTTGACCGGGGACGGTGGACACCTAATTAAGGTCTATTGTTTAACCAGTCGGTACTGTACACTGTTAATCTTACCCCGTTTCCCAATGTGTATAAATCTGGTCGGATGTCATGTTTAATCTGATCGGCTGTTCTTCTGGAAATCGATTTTGAAATAACAATGATTGAAGACCGACTAGATTTTGACAGATACTTACCGCTGCATTATAAAAAAGATAACGAATTAATTCAAATTATTCATGATGTAAAAGTCAAACTTTGAAAACTAAACATTTTTAGTCAAACTTTGAAAACTAAACATTTTTTTTTATACCTGTGGCCCAGCCCGCCCCCCCCCCCCTCCGAAAAAAAGACAGATTTTTTTTTTCTAATGAGAACATGACTTTATATTCCTGGGAAATTAATATGTATCAGAATATGTTGTTTTTAACACATGAAATAAAAATACCATCTCTTTTTTAAAAAAAAAGTAATATAATTACATTTGGTGTTTATATAAATAAAGATAATTTTAAGAACAGATTGATTTTCGGTAGTGAGAAATTAAGATATTTCACAGGGAGTTGGCCCCGGCGTGTATTATATAATTATTTATTTTTTAAAACAAAAATCATATACACAAATAATAAAAACAACGTATGTATTAATTATTTATTTAAGAAAAATCAAATGCGGTAATAAGATAAAATTTCTTTTTTATTGATACTGTAAATGATTAAAATAAAATATTAGAAACCGGGAGCAAGCCCCTGTTAGCTAACTTTATTCTCAGTGCCGGGAGATTTTGCATAATGACAGAAATGTTATTTAAAAATTACAATCGAGACAAAATTATAAATCACCAAAAAAAAAAAAAATATATTAGATTTTGCGTAAATGACATTGAAATAACTTTAAAAGTTAGATCAAAGATTCGATATAAAATGCGTAAAACGTATAAGTTTAATGAGGTTTGACCATTAAGTCACCATTAAGCTCGGCTTAATGGTGGCTTAATGGTAGCTTAATGAAGTTTGGACATTAAGCACCTGTAAGTTGCAGCTTAATGGTGGCTTAATGGTGGCTTAATGGAGTTAACTTCTTTAAGCACCATTAAGTCACCATTAAGCCACCATTAAGCAATTGCTTAAAGGTGATCTTTCGTCTTGTGATTGTTGGTTCTTTACAATATTTTGGGTAAAGAGTGCTTGTGGATATTTAAGATTACAAATCTATATTTTTCAACTCTCCAAACACAGCCCGTATTTCTTTTTAGATTCCGCTTTAGCTCTTATTGCAAAGTAAGTGTACGGGCATGCTCTAAATTGTTTTAAGGGTTTCATTCAGGGTGATCAATAGACCAAGTGCATTAAAGTGGTCTCCTTGGGACAGGTTTATATGTCTTATGTCTTACCTGTACCTATTCAGTTTAGGAAAATCAGCTAGCTCTATATCACTTGGCAGCATGGATATACTATTTTTAAATGCGAAACACCCCCGATTTCTTGAATCGTTTGTTAATCAGTAAAATGTTAAGTGGAGCAAAAAAGTTTGCTAGGTCAGTTGATGCGTGCAGCCTATTACTTTTAATATTCGAAATAAAAAAAAAAAATAGTGACAATACCATAGATAGCTAATTCTTAGTAACGGACATGTTGCTACAGGGTTATGTTCCTTTTTGTAATTTATCCTTGCTGAGAGGAAGGGAAATCGCGGTTCATTCAGACTCAAACCCATATTTGCTGCTTTGAGGAAATATACCTTTTCAGGCACGACAACAAGGGAGTTTAAAGGAGTCTTACAATGAATCAACTTTCAATACAATTTAGGTAAAATAAAAGTCTATCTAGAAATAAAATCCCAACCCAATTGCAGTAGGTGAAATTAGCTGCAAAGGACCCCTTTTTGCTACAGCAACACCCTGGCACATTTTTTAGTGTTTTTAAGACTCACAAAATGAGATATGGGATGGTTGCAACTGGTGTCATTCCAGAGAACATTAAGGTTCCTATTTTCCCGCCTATTAGTACATATATGTTTTCATTTAGGGTGGTAGAAAGTCCGATTGTAAAGGATAAATGGTTGAGAAAGTATCCCTTATTCTGTATTATTTGAATGTATTAAATACCTAGATAGAGGATTCCGTCTGAGGCGGTATCCTCTATTTTTCTGCATCTTTTTTTAAAATTTAATTGTTAATACTATAACCTCATAAAAGCGTCAATTTCATGCTTTAAATATCATAATAATGCATGAGAAAGCTTAACATTGCATAGTTTATCTACCTTCACTTTATACTACTCTTACATACAGGTACACAAGGTATTCGGTGACTGTCTGAGGCGGCACTGAATACATTCGTTGTTGAGTATCATATCGAGAATTGTATTAATATTTCATATCATTTTGAATTATTTAAATGCTTTTGTCAAGATATGCAACTATTCTATTCCTGGTACGTACGTTAATGACTTTCTCGAGTTGTGTTTGAATTTATCTGCCTTCACTTTATACTAATATACACTTGCATACAGGTACATGAAGTATTCGGTGACTGTCTGAGGCGGCACTGAATATATATATTCGTTGTTGAATATCATATCGAGGATTGTATTAATATTTCATATCATTTTGAATTATTTAAATGCTTTTGTCAAGATATGCAATAATTCTATTCCTGGTACGTACGTTAATGACTTTCGAGTTGTGTATGAATTTATCTGTCTTCACTTTATAAACTTACATACATGTACACGAAGTATTCGGTGAATGTCTTAGGCGGCACTGAATATATTCTTTGTTGGGTATCATATCGAGGATTGTATAAATAGTTTATATCTCTTTGAATTATTTACATGTTTTTGTCAAGATATGCAATAATTCTATTCCTGGTTGGTACGTTAATGACTTTCGATTATGTATTTATTTCATTTTAGTTAATATTTTTATTATCCATCCTTAGAATTCCATTGATCTATGTTGTGAATAGTTTTGTTAGTATTTACATCGTTATCAAGCTGTATACATTAAGTAATTGAAGCACATTTTTGGGTGGGGCGAGGGACCCTTCTCTGTACGTTCATTGTCCCTCTTGTGGGATGTTTTTGGGCCCCACCTTCTGCTGCATTCTGATATTGTAAAATCTGTAATCTCATTTGGCATTTGTAATAAATGCTCTATACACACACACACACCCTCTTTATTATTTAACATGCTGCAGAACAGAGCTGCAAATGTGCTTCAGGTTCACATGAACCGAATTGTTCATCAGTTTCAGTATTTAAGAGCACATAAGTGTATTTATGTATATAAAGGAATTTATGTGATCTAAATACGTAATAAATTGCATATTTTTATTAATTACAAATTTGTTTGAATTCATGGGTCCCGAAGGGATTTCCGGGTTTTATACTTAAGCGTCCTCTAGTAACGGCTATTAGCCTTATCCTTATCAGAATAACATTTCGGCTCCAAAATGTGGTTTACAAATTTTACCCACCACCACCCCTTCAATCCTCCATAATTATTGTTATTGTAGAAAATACATGTACTAGTTTCTTTTATATAAGGTGCCTATTGTTATTGCATGACTTTTGTTATTGTAGAAAATAGATGTACTAGTTTCTTTTGTTTAAGGTACTTATTGTTAATTTTGTAGAAAATATATGTACTAGTTTTCTTTTGTATAAGGTGTGGGATGTGTTTGGGCCCCACCTTCTGCTGCATTCTGATATTGTAAAATCTGTAATCTCATTTGGCATTTGTAATAAATGCTCTATATACACACACACACCCTCTTTATTATTTAACATGCTGCAGAACAGAGCTGCAAATGTGCTTCAGGTTCACATGAACCGAATTGTTCATCAGTTTCAGTATTTAAGAGCACATAAAATGTTTTAAGTTTTTAAACAAGCAAAGCCCGTCTTACCTGCACGATTTTATTCATATTAAAGAAACACCTTATTCTTTTAGATACACGAAAACTGCTGTTTTACCAAAAACAAGATCAACAACATATGGGTTGAAGTCTCTTAGATATGAGTCTGCAAAACTTTGGAATTCTTTACCAGAATCTTTTAGTATTATTACTACTTTTAACCAGTTTAAATCCAACATAAATAGTTGGTACGGAAATTGTTGTAGTTGCTGTGCCTGTCGCTAATTTTATTTTTAGAAACTAGTAAACAGGGTTTAAGTTATTTTCGGTTTGTCAGTTTTAATGTGGTGAATACTATGTCATTGTAAAGCACCACGGAGGAATAGTGATATTTTAGTAGTGTTATGCAATTTCTAAAAACGGTTTCTTGTTTATTATGTATGATTGTTGAATTTACTTAACATTATTATGTAGACGGAAAATAGCTCTTCAGAGCTAATGTTCTTTGTTGATGTACCCGTCTTTAAATAAATATTATCTTATCTTATCTTATCTTATCAAAAATACATCTTAAAATCGACATCTCTCAATATCCAAGTTCACTAAAATGACTTTGTATGCAAGTAAAATATGTTTTAAGTCTATTTTTGACTGTAGTCGTCATGCAAATTTCTAGGATATTGTTTTAACACCGAATTTTCTACAGATATTTTTTCTTTGTCAGATTTTGACAAGGAGCACACGGTGGGTGTGACCGGTCGACGGGAGATGCTTTCTCTCATGGCACCTGATCCTACCTCCGTTTTCAGAGATCTATGTCGGCTATGCTTATAATTTGTATTGATTCAATTGACGTCTGAGAATCATCACCTTTCGTTATCTTTACATTTCGTCGTTTGTTTTATAAACATTGTACACATTTACATATATGTCTTCAAAGCATTTATACATGTTTAAGTTCTTACCAGATGACTGTTGTGTGGCACTTTCGTTTTTGTGATGTGTTCACCATCTTTGTAATGTCACAACCAATTCTTCGGACTCGACCAATCTTTATCAAGCGTGACGATAACTTTATTGTACATACTGCGTATTGTAAAACTTAATGAATAAGTGTTTAACTGTGTAATTATCAAAACATTTAAATCATTCGAATGGAAACGAAGAAAAAAGGTTGTTTAAAAACTGGTCATAATAGCGCTATGATAAACAGTTCACTGGAATATTTGTTATAAAAGCGATAGGCAAAATTATTTCTAATTGAAGAATCAGAAGCTTTACAACGCATTTTATTAAGAATGGTTTTTGGGGCATGTTTAATTTTTTTGAGACTATTTAGGACTACTTATTTATTTTAGATATCCCATATTAATGACGAATATACCAGTAAACAAATATACTTGTGCGTGCAATCAGAATGCGTTTCAACAAAATAATTTTTCAAATGACCAATAACCAGGTTAGTAAATTTACGAGTTCCATTTTTATTGAAAAAGCAGTTGTCAATGATATCAAAAAGCCTGGACTTTAATTTATCGTGGGGAATGGTTGGGTATAAAGTTGAAAAGTTTTTAAGCTGTTGATTTTGGTAAAATCTTGTGATTTCAAAAAGTTCTTTGGAATATTTGAGTATCCATATCTGTTTGACACCACTTCTTGAATATATTGTTGCACAGTACTCTTGAAGTGTTTCCTTCACTACTGTCAATATCTTAGTGAGGAGTAACGAAAGAGGCTCGGTTGAACATTTACTGGAACCCGCAATGTATCTTTGTTTGTAAGGATTTTTATCAAGTTTCGGAATCCAATATATCCAAATTCATTTTGGCTCTGTGGAATATTAAAAATATCTAAAACTGACATATTATTTTGAAGAATTTCTTCCTAAGAAAGGGAAGTATGAGTATAAGGAGGATTACCACTTGTAGAATTATGGTAATGACAATGCATTACTTTACTACAGTAATAATAATGTAATGCATTACTTTTAGATAATAGAGTAATGGTAATGGTAATTTAATGCCCATATTGTCGAAGTAATGGTAATGTAATGCATTACTTTGCAAAGTAATTTGCCCCAACTCTGATTACTACTGAAAAACCACGAATTCGAGTTTTGAACCACGAATTCGAATCCTCATGAACCTATATATTTTCCCCAGACCACGAAAATTTGACCCCTCGAAAATATGTGATGCTACAGTATATGAAATACAGTGCAGAATTTAAGAGGGTTGAGTATTGTGCAGAAGCACTGCAAAACAAGAGGTAAACAAAATGGTCGGTTTACTTTTCTAAAAAAAAAAAATAAAGATGTGTCTTTAAAATACTGATGCACGCGTGACAGCTTGTGCGAGGGTTGAATTCTCTCAAATGCATGTCAATTTCCAATGGTCAAGGTCAAAATATTGGTACCCAAAGGAAGGTCTTGTTACATGAATTACGCCCGTGAAATACGAGAGCCCTATTTTTATCTGTTCAAAGTTATCACCAAAGTTTAAGTATTTAAAACGTGGGTAAACTCTTAGGTCAAGGTCCAAAGGTCAAAAATATTTATACCAGCTGAAAGGTCTTGTCACAATAAATTCACATGTGAAGTATGAAAACCCTAGCTCCAACTGTTCAAAGTTATGGCCAAAGTTTAAGTAGGTTTATTTTGTAAAAGTTGGTCAGACTCCAAGGTCAAGAGGTCAAATTTGGTGGTACTCATGGAAAGATCTTGTCGAAAGGAATATACCTGTGTCATATTAAAGCCATAGACCCACCTACTCAATAGTTAAGGGCTAGGTTAAAGTTGGCAGAAGACAGACAAAAAGGCAAACAGACAGGACAATCAATATACCCCGGGATATTTCGATCCTGGGCATTAAAAAAGTCTGCTAAATCCTAATTGTATTTTTTTGTCGCTAAATTGTAATTAGTGATGACGTTTTGAGGACGGGGTTTAATGTTCATGATGGGCTGCTCCAACACATTCTTCATTAGTCTAGTCCGATTTATAAATAAAAACTTATAACGGTAAATAAATCTTATTTGGTCCAGCAAAGTTTTTAACCTATTTCGAGCATGCTTAATGCCGAAGGAGAATTGTAAATCAAAAGTTAAATGTTTAAGTTTTAAATGACAACTGTTCGTTATTTATTAGCTAAAATGTAATATTCGTGCTTCGAAGTCCATAAAACATTACAAAATAGAAGCAGAGCAACCACAGCCCGCAAAACATCAGAGATTGGATCAGCTGCCATGGAGGAGTGAGTATAGCCTTTCGACTAGTCCCACTCGCAGTGTTCCTCTTCTTGTGTTCGAAAAAAAGAAGGAAAAAATCTGACGACAATATTCGGTGTGCACGTGTAAATAATGGTCTAAATTCAGGATGAAAATTGTCAGAGTTAGTCGAAGTTAAAAATAAGGAAAAATGATACTCTCATGAAACTCAGTATGTATGTGATGAAGGTATATTGCTGCATAAGTAAGGGAAGTTGGCGATTGAAATGTTAAGGCATCAAGTTTATCTTAAAGCTTGCTTGGTAAATTCCCATTAACGTCTTTTCCAAGTAAAATATCGAAATATGAAACAGGTGTGTAAGACTAAGTGGTATCTTCTATCTTGAGGTTACCAGTATATATTGATAGATATTTTCCAGCAAAAATATTGCTATATTTCAGTAATTCAAAGTTTGAATCAAATTTTCTTTGAAACTTTTGATTCAAAGTTTGAATATTGCTAGAATATTTCAGTGAATGAAAGTTTGAATTTTTAACTATGCATATTTTGATCGCCGATGTTGCGCGCCATTGATGTGACGTCATAGGTGTCAATCCTGGAAAAGCGAAGTACCTATTGTGTTTACAAAACGACTCAATGTCTTCGTCTATAAACCCTGCTAGAAATTAGATAAATGATAATTGGTTAATTGATAGATACGGTGTAGTTAGATTTATTTTATGGAATTTGGATGGAAAATGAGTACAGGAAAGGGTTTAGGGAGGTTTTTTTTTAACATTCCCTGGACTTGACGCGGTTAATATAAGTAATATTCTAAAGGGTTTTATAACTTGAAATATGGTGGAATGCAAGACTGACCCTTCTGTGACTAAGGATATTTATATTAACAGTGTCAATTCTTTTGTTGGCATATTGAAGTATAAGGAAAAGATGGATTGTTTTAGCTGCATGTTCTTCCCCAAAAGGTACGGGTTTAAAATGTCTATGATTTACAATACCTATAATCACAGATCTGAGCCAATATTCTGGTGTCGAGGAATCAAAAATTGGACTTTCCTTGGCCTTTTCAAGAAGACTATATAAAAGTTTCAAAGGGACAGAGTAAAGTTTGGTGCGAATATGATGTAGACCTAACTTTTGATGTACATACTACGGTATGAATCAAAAGAGACATGATATATTAAAGGATTACTGAAAAACCGAGTCCGTGACTACGCTAACGTCTCTGTGTATGGTAAAAAGTTACATTCACATTGTTACACTGTGGACTCGAAAAATTCTCAACATTATCGACATTGTCATTGCAACCATAGGGTAAGACTGTCTCACATTTTATTCATTTGTTGAAGATGCTCAGATACACCCATTTTCATAAAAACCTGAAAACACTGCATTTCAGAAGCATATGTTTTTGATAAATGACCTTTCAAAGGATTTGTTTAAAGTTTCGATATTAAAACAAAGTAAGCGTTTGAATTTCTTTATTACGATATATTCTTTCGTCTCTTAACTTGTGTTAAGTAAACAGGTTTTATGATCGCAATAGCAGGATCATTTGATTACTACGCTCTACACTCTTTACAAACACATTGGATATTACATACTTGTAAAAATTATTTAAGTCCCCACGTGGTTTAGCTTTATCTATTTAAAGGTTAAAGGTTAGAACCGGTTTTTTAAATAAAATTGGCAATAAACAGGAAATTGCTGTAATCTGTTTCTTTTGTAAACTGTCCAGTGAAAAAATGTGTTTCCAGACCTTTCTGAAAGACTTTCATGATTTTCGACAGAAAAGGTTGGCTTAAGGGGGAATTAAAATAATGAAATATCTTTTCATAATTTACGGCAAAAATTAGACTAGCGATCGATACGCTGGTAATAAAAATAATGACTTCTACATTGACAAACCTTTGTTTTCCTTATATTGCTATTGCTATTAATGCGCACAGAGGATCTAACAGATTAAGAGAGATCGAATGAAGTACATTTCTACGTAATAGTAAGATCATATATTTACATCCACTGAATATTTTCTCCTTTATTTCTTAAGAAAACCCATTGCGCTAATCATGAACTACATTAGGCATGTCGCCTGTACAGATTTCTTGATCAGTGGCTGTTCCATCGATGAAACGTATAAAAACGTTCGCATCATTAATACAATAATTAATCTTTTTAATCTTACTTTAAACAATTATTTAAACAGATATAAATATAAACAATAAAATGTCTTTCTTTGTTTGTCATTACTAGAATTAACGGTCGCAGCTATTGCAGAAAAAAATTACATAACCCGCTTACGCGGGTTAAGTATTTTTTCTGCCACAGCTGCTTCCGTTAATTCCAGTAATAACAAACAAAGAAAGCATTTTATTGTTTAAATGAAGATTTCTCTTCATATGATCTTACTGACTTAGAACAGAACCTCAGCCAATCAATTGAATGGATTAAAAATAAACTCATCCCACGGCTGTATCATATTTAAGGCTCAAATTGACCGCTCCTTGTACATATCGAACACACGCAGTTTCAGAATGGACTCCCAACCCATTCAGGTTAGCACGGGATTATATAAAGTAGCTTGATTTACTGGGGAAATGGTATGGTGAAGATATCAAAGTTACTGAACTAATGAATACCTATGTAACAAGAATCATAATATCTATATTTTTGAAAAAATGATTGTGTTAAGATGATAAGGCCCTAGTCAGCAGGAGTGGGTATCGCTGTCTAATATCAAATAAAAATTTGATAAAATTTTGATTAAATCTGTCTTAA